ACCTCGATACGATATTGCAATTGAAGTTATATGAATTAAAAGGATACTAGAAGAATTGAAGTTCTCTCAAAAATACCTATAAGAGTTTACTACGACAATAAAATTGTTATCGCTATACTATCCAGTTCTACATGATCGGAAAAACCATATTGAGGTTAACAAGCATTTAATAAAGAAGAAAATTGATGCTGGTGTAAAATTTTCTCTTATCTTCCAACAACAGAACAAACAATTGTATGTTAACTAAAGGTTTTCAAAGGGACAATTTGACAAACTGATTGACAAGCTGGCTAGGAGACATCTTTAAACCAGCTTGAGGGGGAGTGTTCCATTTCTTTTATATTTATTGTAAATATTAGTTGTTCATATTTATGTGTAAGTTTTTTCCATATTTTTATGTTGCCTTTCTTCTATATAAGAAGACCTTGTATTTGATTCAATTAATAAAAGAAATATAACAATTTTATTTCTTCCCAAACTTCTAGTAATATATAAGTTTTCTTCCATTGCCTTCCCTTCATGCTATCCACAATGGGACCCCAACAAGATAGTCTTTCATATGCAGTTATAACTTTTGAAAATTGCAAAAATCAAAACACTTGCATATAACTTACCTCATAAGAGAAATCAACGTGACCTGGCGTATCAATCAAATTCAAGCAATATGCTTCATTCTTATACATGTAACGCATTCGAGCTGCCTGTCAAATTGATTGTTAATAACAAATATCACTAAGGTAAAATATTAGAAATAATAACAAGAATAATAGATATTACAATGCAAAAATATTAGAAATCATAAGAATAGTAATTTGTGAAAGGGTGGGTCAGTCAATAATCAAAATTCTTCCTCCACCCTTCTAATATTCAACTAAGATTATTAAGAAAAAGGTAAGAAGCCAATTGAGAGAAAGGATAGGTATCCTCTCTTCTCTCTCCTCTCTTTCCTCTCCCCTTCGGTCTGATCAATCGAGTTCTACTTCATTTCCATGGTTGGTTCTAAGTGCTGGCTTTTGCATCAGCTTGACATTAAAAACGCCTTCCGCCATGGATGTTCTAGAATTTTTTTTTCTTTAATTTTGCTCAAAGGGAGGATGATAAAGTTCGTCGCCTTCAGAAAGATTTGTATGGGTTAAAACAATGTTCATGAGCATGGTTTGGAAAATTCAGTCGCACGCTTGAGCAATTTGGAATGAATGTCTGATCACTATGTCTTTCATCGATGATCTAAGAGTGGTATTATTTTAATTTGTCATATATGTTGATGATATTCTCATTACTAAAAATGATACATCAGGATTTTTTTTAACAAGATACAAACTTCTCATTGATTAATGAAAATGAACAAAATTGTTAAAAGCATATAATCTCCTGGGAGAGAAAAGATAAAACAAAACAAAGAAAAGAGAGAGAAAGGAGAGAAGGAACCCAAAGAAAATATACAAACTGATGTAACCGTCAGTAGCCTTTAAGTTCTGTTATTAGCTTTTGTTTTAAAGCTTATGTTTAATAGGCTTTAGGTTATGTTTGGTAGGCTTTTAAGTTTTACCCGTGGTAACTTTGTTTACCCTTACTTAGTTTTAAGCTAAGAATCCTATAAATAGGTTTCAGCCCTTCAATAAAGAGAATCTTTAATAAGGGCCTCCCGAAGAGAGGTATGAGGAATGCAAAGGGCATTGCCCTTAAATAGAAAGCCATCCACTATATGGTAATCCTCAGATGCTGTATGTGATTGGCATGTAGTCCATATAGCACCGAAATCGGAATCCCCTTCATAGGTATCGGGGAGATGTTCGAAGGCAATTATCTCCCCTCTTAAAATGGTTAACAAATTTCCTTTTCGACTCAAGGCATCGGCAGCCTTGTTAGCGATGCCAGATTTATGTTTTATGACAAATTCAAAGCGTTGAAGGAAAGAAAGCCAACGAGCATGCATACGGCTAATAGATTTCTGTGTGTGGAGAAATTTAAGTGAAAAGTGATCTGTGAATAGGACAAATTCTCTACTTAACAAATAATGTTCCCATTGTTTCAATGCTCGAACTAAGGAGTAAAGTTCTTGTTCATAGGTACTCCATTTTTGTCTAGACGAGCTGAGTTTTTCACTAAAGTACTCGATGGGGTGGTTATTTTGGGAAAGAACAGCCCCAATCCCAATCCCGAATGCGTCTACAGCTACTTCGAAGGGTTGGTTAAAATCAGGTAGGGTAAGAACAAGGCTACTACTTAGTTTATGTTTGATTAGGTTAAAGCTTTCGGTTTGACTTGGACCCCAAGTGAATTGTCCCTTTTTAAGACAGTTTGTGATGGGAGCAACAATTGAACTGAAGTTTCGTATAAATTTTCTATAAAAGGAAGCAAGCCCAAGAAAACACTGTACATTCTTGACTGTTTTAGGTTCTAGCCAGCTAGAAATAGCAGTAATTTTTATAGGATCCATTTTAACTTCATTGTGTCCTATTATAAACCCTAGGAAAGATATTTCAGGTACTGCAAAGAGGCATTTTGTGAGATTAATAGCTAGAGTCTTCGTAGCTAGGGCAGAGAATACTAACCAAAGGTGTCCTAAGTGGTCCAACATGCTTTGGCTATAAATGAGGATGTCATCAAAGTAAACTACCACGAATTTATTTATAAAAGGATGTAATACTTGATTCATGAGTCTCATGAATGTGCTAGGAGCATTAGAAAGGCCAAAGGGCATGACCAACCATTCGAACAAGCCCTCATTGCTCTTGAAGGCCATTTTCCACTCATCCCCTGGGCGGATGCGGATTTGATGGTATTCGCTCCGAGATCGACTTTAGAAAAGATTGTGGCTCCTCCTAGTTGATCCAATAGGTCACCAATCCTAGGAATTGGAAATCGGTATTTAATTGTGATTTTGTTAATGGCCCTACTGTCAACACACATTCGCCACGTGCCATCTTTTCTTGGTGTAAGAAGGGCTGGCACCGCACACGGGCTAAGGCTTGGTTGAATGTGACCTTTTATCAAGTAAGTCTTGTATTTGATCATGAAGAATCTTGTATTCCGACGGGCTCATTCTATAATAAGCCAAATTAGGAAGTGTGGC